GTCAACGGCGGCGTGGTGTATTCCGCAAATATGGCCGACTGTGAGGGCGGGCACAAGCCGGCGTGAATAGGTTAAACGTTGAGTTTTATAAGGGCACCACGGGGTGACCAGCCCCTCCCCACCCAGCTCCACCCCTCCACCCCCGACCCAGCCCCACCCTCCCCACTCAGCCCCTCCCCCCCCTCCCCTCTCCACCCAGCCACACCCCTCCCATTTTTGGATGCACGACGGACGGATGGACGGACACAATAATCCCCTGTGGGCTGGTGGAACCAGGTGGTTCCTACCAGTAACATTTGGACAACTAACTTAACCTTATTGGCACAGTTGAAACAGAGGTCAGTCGGTCATGCAATATAGGCCCCCATCTGTGAATCCCACCTGTGAAGGATGTGATCCCTGACATGCAATACCCCAGCGTCTACAAACTAAGCTGTGCCTGCCGCAGTAGTTACATTGGGGAAATTGAGCGGCATGTCTCAGACCGTGTTCATGAACATAAGGCAGATCTGAAACATCGTTAGAATCAATACCTCAGCCGTTGGTGATCATTATTTTAATGCGGTGGGCTCACACGAAATTGATTTCTCCAAGACGAAGGTACTCTGCAAACCCACTGGCTATCAGTAAAGTTTCGTGCATGAAGCCATCCAGATATATAAACACAGACACACTTTCAACCAAGAAGATGGGTGCAAACTGAGCAATCATTGGTAGGACGTTATTAACCAGTTTAAGTCATAACTGGCTGTGATATTTCCATCCTACCTTCCGATGTTAGCAGCTATTTTCGACTCTTTTACATTAACAGGTTCACACTAACAAAGCTGCCGTTAACATTGACATGCTAATCTCTCTCACTTTAACATCACTTGCCCCGCCCACTTCGTTTAAGACCCTTCGGCTACACCGATTTCAAACCTTTAAAACAGCCTGCTTCAACAGCTTTCCCCCCTCTTTTTTTCACCTGATGACGATTGCTTGTGTTGCGATCGAAACGTCGTGATATTTTTATAATTTTGTATTCACTTTATTTTCATTTTTATTTTGTATTATTGTATTGTTCTATCTACACGACTTTACCGAAAGACCTAAAGAATATGAATTCCTGCAGTCACGAAAGCTTTAAGTCAAGATTTATACACTATACTTTCAAGGATGGTACCAGGCAGATTAATTTTGAACTGCCCTTGTGGCTTTAGCTTGAATGACACGCAGAGTCACTTCCCCTTTCTTTGGAGCAGCTTGCTGAGAAGGTGGCCCAAGCAATGTATGTTTAGATTTCTCCACTCTCACGTGAAATGGCAATTTTGTTTAGCCGCAGAATAAAACATTCATGTCAAACTTAATGGCCCGTGCTGGCATTCGCTTAGAAGGACAGACCAAGAATAACTCACTCCACTCATCACAGTGGCGTGGCTCTCAATTGCGCAGGCAATGCAGCTGCACCAAGGCCCATGGGACGGAGGGGCTCACGCCCGAAGCTACGAAGAGAAAGGGATCTCATTTAACTAATTGCACCAGGGCCCATGCCAATGCCACTGCACTACTACCGCATCATCGCTACGTGAAGTCGTGGAGGAGGTACGCTACCCAAAAGTTTTTTTCGAATTGCGTGCAGATTTTTTTTCTTATAACGCAGCGAGACAGAACAAATAATACATGGATGTGAGAGCATACGCATGTTAAAAGTGAAATTGTCGACCGTTAAGAAAACGTGGGCTTGAAGGGATGATGACGGGTAGGCAAGACGAATGATGGAGTGGTTGCCAATAGAGGCAATGCACCCAAGAGGATCTCCACTGTGGAGATGGATCAGCTCGTGTGGAGGTGCTGGGCAGTTTGTTGCCTATCGCTGGACAGTGAGAGATGGTGAGACTTTGTGGGGAGATCTTCATCTTGATAGTGGATAGATCTTGGCTGATGATAATTGCGTGACGAGGTCTTCATCCAGCAGTCGATAGACAATGGCCAATGATGATGAAGTGTAGCGACTTTCGTACAGCAGTGGAAAGATCAGAGTTCACAATGATGATCATTATCATCATGATGAATGCAATGTTGATGATCGTGGCCGGTAGTATATTTGGCAGTCTTTGTCACAGACGTTCTGATATGATCATGCTGGCCTGGCTCTCGAGGTCTCCATCTAGCAGTGCATCGTTCATGGCTGATGACGACTTAGGTAGGCCTTCATCAAGCAGCGGATGAGAACATAGCTGCTGATGACGATGATGAATGCGGTGTTAATGAACGTGGTGGAGAGGGTACATGTATACATACCAAGGCCGTAGCCATGGAGTCAACATTGGGGGGGACCAAATCTTCCAGGGGGTCTAGGGGTCCCCCCCCCCCCAGAAAAACATCGAAATCTGAAATAATTTCCTGCCGATAATATAAAAAATGCACCAACAAGGATGGACTTTTTTTTTACAATAATGTCTAATAGTGTATTGTATTATATTGCTCTGTTTTGTTTACCTTTCTTGTTTCATTGTATGTAATGGCAGAGATTAGGGATTAATAAAGTACAACCACAATCATATAAACAGAAATCTATGAATTGTTATATGAAGACAAGCCCAAATATTGTGGCCAAGGTTGAGCAAATTGTTGTTTTAATTTACATAGCATAGCATTTTTTGTTTTAACATTGTTTATAGCAATATATTTGGGGGGGGGGGCATTTTAAGCATATTTGAATATTGTGGGAAAATGTGTCCCCTCCAATATATATTATAATTACGGCCTTGATACGTACATATTTTGGGGGTAAATCCTGACCAAATCAAACTGGTGCTGAGAGCATCAATGTAAAAATTAACCGAACAAACAAAAACGCGCGGCGGCGTATCTATCGTTCACGTGGCGGCGGGGAGGGGGAGGAGGAGGAGGAGGCGGCGCTGGCTCGGATTGCGTGTGGCGCGCGCTCTCGCTCAGCCATGCACACGTTTGGCCGGGTCACGTTCGCTCTGCCAAGTCCGAGAGGCCGTTGCCTCTGCCGGTTTTGCCCACGCTTGCCGATTGGTTCCGACCGTGGGCGTGACGCCGAGGTCGCACTCACTCAGTTTAAACTGTGATAGGTGGCTTGAAGTTCACGATTGTGGGGATCCTTATCCTGCACGTTGATGACTTGCGGGGTAACCGTGTCACCAGCACCCCCAGCTTTCGTAAAATGACTTGACCGTTATTTTAAACGAGCAACACACGAGCCGGCCCACAGCCGGTGTCAATTTCGTGAACTGAAATCAAGTGACAGCAGTATTTGTCAACAAAGTGTTTTTTTTTTCACGTTCGGAAACGATGACGGCTAGTGGACAGAATTATATCGGCATAATTACGACCACGACTACTGCCCAACAACAGACCACAGTGTGGACTGACTGCGAGGAGGCAACATTAACTAAGTCTGAATGAAGACGCAACCAAGATAATTGCGTAACATTATTCGACGCTGCTAGTGCAGTGAGAGAGAATAAACATGGTCATTGAATACATTTATTTATGTTGGCTGACTGAATGTTAACGCGAAGATAGAAAATGTGTGCGCTCCTCACGTATATAATAACTCGGAGAGTTTGACTAAACATTTTACAGCTTTAGTTGACTAAACTGAGAAAATGACTTCTTGAATTCACCGGCCTAAGACTTGACTCCAATTCCACAGATTGTTGTCCACTTGATTTAGGACTCTTTAAAAACATGTCCCAAAAAAATGTGACCAAGTTAACGCTGCTCAGGGCTAATTCGAGATGTCGTACACAGGACGTAATTTCTCAAGAATTGCCTCGGTCGCTTGGTAGACTGGAGTAGCCGTGGTCCTTTGCGAGAAGGATTCTGGATGTTGCGTGGCCGGTTGTGGAAATATTTTCTCACAGTCGCCGACCCGAACAGACCCGTCTGAATATAAACATCTCTCGTACGTCATGCCACCATGCCATCACATACACGATTTGAAGTCGCATTGTCATTTTGTTAGTACTGCAGATTTTAGTTTTTTTATATATATATATATATAAAATACAAATATTTCGATTTATTTTTGTTCTGTAAGCGTTATTTTCAGGGTCCTGAATTATACTAATCGACACAATATCCCAACAAGCTGGCAAGCACAACAGCGGTAACCACCGTTAAACACAACACTCGGATCCACCGAGAAGCAGCTCGCTAACCCTAACTAAATCTATCAACATGTTCAACATTTTCTGCGTTCATCATCACCTTCGTCATCAGCCGGGGTTAATCCGCTGATGAGTCTGCACTTGGCATTTAATTACATTTTAACAGCACCAAATCCCACACCGCAGCAACTCATTTGCAAAAGTTTAATCATTGCATAACATATTAACTCTACGTGTGTCTGTGTGACTTTGGAAATTGAACTCCAGAGCCTGGAGCTGCAAATGTTGGGGCACCGATTGTCATTGTTTATTTTGAATCGATTACAGTATTTCCATGAAAGATAGTGATAAAAATATAGCCTCTGTTGATTCTTGACATGTGTAAACCGTGTGTGTGCGCGCGCGTGCGTGTGATGCGGAGAGAGAGGTGTGGGCGGTGTGGAGCAGTGGGGGACTGTGGGTGGTGGTGGTGAGGGGCTGTGGGTGGTAGTGGGGGGGTGGTGGTGGGGGGCTGTGGGTGGTCGTGGGAGCCTTTGAGCTGTGTGGAGCAGTGAGGGACTGTGGGTAATGGTGGTGGTGGTGGGGACTACGTGGTGACGGGGGTGGGAGCTGTGGGTAGCAGTCGTGGTTGTGGAGGGGAGGGGTGGTTTGGAGCTGTGATGAGTGTTGTGTGCTCTGGATAGCCACAGGAGTTGTAGGTAGCAATCGGTTCTGCGAGGTATGTCAACAGGAGCCCCAGGGTCTTAAGTTGACCTTTTGGCAATGCAGGGCGCGCGTGCGTGAGGTGCGGTTGAACGTAGTAGCTTCAGGCTCGCGGCGCATTCTTTTCGCTAACCGCTGGACTTTCGCCGCGCCCGCTCTCTGCGTGTCGAGCAGGCCGTCGTGCACGCTGTTCTTCTCGTCGGACCCCCTTAAGATCGTGCGGGCCCAGGGCCAGTACATGTACAATGAGAAGGACGAGCGCTACCTCGACTGCATCAACAACGTGGCGCACGGTGAGGCTACCACCGCCGCTCGCTCTGCCACCTGCACCGGGGGCCTGAGTGCAGAACGAGCGACGGATTTCTAGACATGGCTGTGAGATCGGACCTGTCGTAACTCCAACACCGGAGGGAAATTAAAAGAATAAAAGCATCTGAGAGTTAGGTGAGAACTTAGTCCTGGGGACCTCCCTTCACCAACCCTGCAGCGAGGAGCATGGATAAGTATGGTGGGGGAAAAACCCCGATGACTGAGAGGCACGAGGAAGTGGATTGACAGAGGGCTTTACGTTGCTATTCAGCAGAAGTTTTCAGACAAGGCCCTCTGTCTCACAGCACGGTACTGAAATCGGTGACATTACAAGACTTCATGATGGCATCCACGATTGTAAAGAACAGGTCGAGGCAGGAATTGAAGTCGGGCGTGAGAGTTTCGCTCACTGCCGCATTTGAAAGCCTGCAGCAGTCAAACTTTCCCATCATCTGCAGCGGAGTTTCATAAAATGTTTGATAGCCATCATGCCGAGCCTCCCCCATTGCTCACACAGACTCTGGTAGTGTTCCTCCTTCCCTAAAACACCACCGTAAACAACCGCCCTCCCCGTCTTTCATTTTGCCTTTTAAACACACGTCTGAGCGCTCGTGAAAAGTGCTGTCATTAATCCTGCGAATACAACGAGAGTTTAAAGCTCACCATGTTCAGCGTAAACCTAAGCAAAACAATTTGTCCCGTGACCGAACGCGGTTGTAAATTCGTCCCTTCAAAGTTTTCGAAGTGCCCGTGCCCTGGCACACTTCAAGAAGTGACGCATCGCGTTGCGTTGTGCATCCGGCTGGCTCGAGTCCGTGGCAAGAGCTCTTGACTCACAAGAGGACAGCGTGTGAGTCCCGGTCAAGAGCCGATTTGGTTACAATCTGTACCCGCATTGTGAGACGTCCACAGGGTTGTTATTGTTTTAAATCCTTTCTATGGATAGACTCACCCCCCTCCCCCAACGTCGACATGCAGAATCCCCATCGCAGGCCCAGGGACGGCAAGAGGCAGATTTACGCCGAGTGGCACTGACGTTGACTTTTTTGTTTGTTTGAAGACGCCGACTCTTTGTTTTGCCGTTGACTTTGTGCGTTTTTTTAACAGTCGGCCACTGCCACCCAGACGTGGTCCAGGCTGCCCACAAGCAAATGCTGCTCCTCAACACCAACTCACGGTTCCTGCACGACCACATGGTCTGCTACGCCAAGCGGCTGACGGACACCCTGCCTGAGAAGCTCTGCGTCTGCTACTTCGTGAACTCGGGGTAAAAAGGAATTGCAAATCGCCGACGAAGCAGGACGGGACACGAACACGCTTGGTTAGTGGTGTCAGGTGTTGTTAGTTTTTTTGTCCTTTTCCTGGCGAGGCGTCGCAGAGACGCCTGCTGCAGAGGGTTGGATGGACGAGACCCGAGTTATTTTCGCCGCTCAGCAGCTGCCGCTGCCCATCACCCCGGAGAGCGAGGGGTTAGAGGGCATGGCTAAGATGAGGGACCACACGCCCGCGCTAAAGGGTTGGCGTCTCGCACCGAGTGAGGAGTTCGGTTTGCCCCCAGAAAATGTTGTGTTCTCTGCAGCACACTCCTGAGAATGTTCAATAATTCGCTGTAGATGGTGTTTGCCTCGATACTCTGTGCTGTACTCCAACAGCAACACGTTCACGATTGCCATACGATATTTGTGCCATTAGACCCTTATCATTGCCTTTAGTTGCAGTCCTGAAATATTTCATACTTAAGATTCTAATAGATTATGCTAACAATACTGCTACAATACATGGTAATGCTATTGAGTGTATTAATAGGATACAATTAAAATATATGGGCATTTCTAAACAAGCAACTCCATGAGGTACATAAGATTGCAAAGACTATTAAGTGCCATTATAATCTACAATTGCATGCAGCATAATCCCTGTGTGTGTGTGTGTAACACGCAAGCATGGAACCCCGTGAAAGGTTGTGACAGCCGTACCCCAGCCTAAGCGTTTGAATTCTCAACCAGCCTCATTATCCTCGTGGCAAGGAGGTATCGTTATCTACGTCTCCATTCAAGATACCTTAGCTGGGCGGAGCATTTCAGAGCGCTCCAGAGCACCTTTCTATTGCACGACCTGTTTGCCCAGAGCGCATCGTAACAGGAGCTCACAGTCTGCGGAGCTGCTGCCTCGCCGAGCGTTAGGTGGACGTCAGATTGCGTCAAAGATCCGATTGATCGAATGTGTCACACGCCCGCCTAATGCACAGCGAGCTATATGCAATTGTCTCCGCCGTTCAAAAAACAAGCGCTCTCCTATCACACCGTTGAATAACAGCTAAGTTCCGCATTGTAGCGCCATGGTGGAATGCTCTCTACCCACTGAATCCATGGACAGATTGTATCGGGGTTGCAAATACAACGTGCTTGCGTACTGGTTTCATTATCAGCTGCTCCTTACTCGTTGCGGGTCAGTGACTCTGCGCCCATGTGGCCGCAAACACGCCAGCAAATAAAGCATTCACTTTAAAAGACGGCGCAGATCCTACGTCTTCGCCCCCGTTTCTACTTAGATAAACACAACATATGCGTTTTGTATAGCCCAATTTACACATGTATTGCATTATCCGTGGTTGTTGTTTATCCGGGCCACCCCATTCATTACCTGTGGTTCCACAGAAGGTGTGGTCAGGCGGGGAGAAAACCCACGTTTTGAATAGCCCAATTTACACATGTATTGCATTATCCCTGGTTTTTGTTGTTGTTGTTGTTTATCTGGGCCACTCTATTCATTACCTGTGGTTCCACAGAAGGTGTGGTCAGGCGGGGAGAAACCCCACGTTTTGTATAGCCCAATTTACACATGTATTGCATTATCCTGTTGTTGTTTATCCGGGCCTCCCCATTCATTACCTGTGGTTCCACAGAAGGTGTGGTCAGGCGGGGAGAAAACCCACGCTGGCACATTCCTCCTGACACGCGGCTGTGAAATGACTTCCAGGTCAGAGGCGAATGACCTCGCGCTGCGCCTGGCCAGGCAGCACACGGGCCACGAGGACGTGATCACCCTCGATCAGTAAGAGATAGTACTGCCGGTCACACACACACACTCCACAAGGACGTGATCACCCTTGATCAGTAAGAGATAGTACTGCCGGTCACACACAAACACACTCCACAAGGACGTGATAACCCTTGATCAGTAAGAGATAGTACTGCCGCTCATGCACACACACATACACCATGAGGACGTGATCACCCTTGATCAGTAAGAGATAGTACTGCCGGTCACACACACACACTACACAAGGACGTGATCACCCTTGATCAGTAAGAGATAGTACTGCCGGTCACACACAAACACACTCCACAAGGACGTGATAACCCTTGATCAGTAAGAGATAGTACTGCCGGTCATGCACACACACACACCCACTCCACGGACGGGATTCAATAATCATGGAGGAGCGAACATTATTACCCTTAGGGCTGAACAGAACCATCAAATATTTTTGTGGCCAACCACGCGTTAACACAAAGATCCCCCATATAGCCTTAACATACTTTTGGGGCAAGTACTGTTGGCGAGCACCTATGATGAACGGAACACGAGAGGGTGGGTGGCCAGCACTACGCCTTGCCGCCTATGTCTCCCGAGTGGCGATGTTTACACACTCACCAGGCACTCATTCGAGTACTCATTCGAGTACCTGGTGAGTACTCATTCGAGTACTCATTCGAGTACCTGGTGAGTACTCATTCGAGTACCTGGTGAGTACTCATTCGAGTACTCATTCGAGTACCTGGTGAGTACTCATTCGAGTACTCATTCGAGTACCTGGTGAGTACTCATTCGAGTACTCATTCGAGTACCTGGTGAGTACTGCCCTCATCAAACCGGAAACCTCTTGTGCTCAAAGGCCCCCAGCTGTTTGTTGTACAATGAACTGAAGTCACATCTAAACTCCAGATCGACAGGGACTAACCGTGCATATTCTCTTTTTTGGTTTCTATTCGTGGGAACTTTTAATCGGCTGTTTAATGCCATCACGGCAAAACAATTTGAGTGTTCCGAAGACTGTATAATATTATCATTGCCGTGTTGCCAGCAGGCCCCTCTCCCAGCGAAACATCCCCTTGTATCAATTTAAATTGGTACCCTTGTCAAAAAAATTACAATCTCCAAATAATGATTTTAAGTCCCAAAATAAAATTACCCAACAAAAAACTCACTATTCGCATGAAATAATTTCCATGACAAATGCTTATAACTCAATACGTTAGTAAACGTGACCTATGGCAGAATCATCACAGCTGTAACAACACCTGCAAGGATTACGCAAGACTGTTTTGTTCACCTGTGCAATAGCACACCTCGAATCCTGAGCTCGGTCTAAACAGAAATCGAATCTGCAGTCCCCGTTCAATCCGCTGTTGGTAGAAGACTTCCGCACGCCATGTCGATCCATGGGGGTTGTTTCTCCATACTTCACCACGCTGACCAATCAATGTAGGTTGGTTGGATTTAGGGGCCCAGTCCTGTCGTACGCGTTTCTGTGTGGGCTTTCCATTGATTTCCTTCGGGCCTTCAGACTCATTGTGGCTTTCCTATGTAAATGAGAATGTTTTATTTTTTGTGACCACAATGGCTATAATTTTCAAATAATATTACAGTAGGTTCTTGCGGTTGAGCTGCATAAAACTCTCTAACGTGTTTCCAGGTTATACCGCAAGTTGCTTGGCACAATGTCTGACGTATACCTTTACATGCTGGAAGATCGAGCTCCTTAAGAAGCTCCCAGGACGTGGAGTGAAACGTCGATCATCGTGTCGAGCAACACCGAGTGCAACCTTCAGTGCCACGAAATTGCAGATAATTATCACCGTGCTCTGTGTTGTCATTGCCTCGGAAATTTGTGTGTCTCATGCCCCTGGATCATGGAGACGAAAGTTATTCAGTCTGGACAACTAAAAATTACAGTGTTCATTTTGTTCTTCACAAGAACCATTGTTGGTGGTTACACCTGAACAATAATGATGCTTATATTAAAAATAGATGCATGTATACGATTTCAGTATCCTAACAATCCTGTCCAGGAAGATAACTCACTCTTTAATTAAGCCCGGCCATGACTGAGTCATTCTGTCACCGAAAGTTTGCGCGGCTTCTGAGAAACAATCGAAAAAAAATGTGATTTTAAATGTACCCGTACGCGTCTCTCCTCAGTGCCTACCATGGCCACGTGACATCGCTCATCGACATCAGCCCGTACAAGTTTAACCACATGGGCCCCGACGCCAAGAAGGAGTGGGTGCACGTGGTGAGTCACGGTCTCAAGCGTAGGGACCCACTCCAAGTGGCCGAGGGCTACTCCACGCAGACGGCTCTTTTATTTGGCTGCATCCTTATTCAATACGGCCAGCAGCTGTTGAGACATTTCACAAAAGCACGTGATGAGAGAAATGCCGAGGCACACGGATAGATATGATCGTCGTAGAAACAAAATCATATTTCCCTATTTATAGAAATGAGCTCACGTGCAAGTGCTAAGTAGATTGTTAATTCGATGCATAGGATTTCGTTACGCATTTTTATTATGATTCATAATTAGTTTGTAATGGGTTGGAGATTGTGTCGGTATAATGTCAATAAAAAATTTTTTTTACCGTAGTAAATATCGTTTAGCTACTGTAACAAAAAGTGACATTACACGTACACGATCTTTCGGTAAAGTCACGTAGGTAAAAAATGAAATTAAAATTAATAAAAATAAAATAATAAAAATCACGACGTTTCGAAGGCAATACAAGTCTCCGTCATCAGGTGGGACCGTCACAGCCAGATTTGCTGCTAAGAGTATGAATCCTTGCAGTCACGAAAGCTTCAAACGTACACGATCGCCAATCCGAAACAAAGTATTTATTAATCACGGGTGAATTGTTCACATTGCGGGATTGTTAGGGATGATGACAACCTTCGGGAAGCTTCCACGTCGCAGTCGAATGGTAACGGTCAATTATGAAGATATAAAATATAGTACCCATCTGTATTATACAAATGTGATACAAGCTGACCGTATATTTGCTGTCGCGATAAAATGTGGCTGCATCTCAAGGAGTTGTAACAGTGGACGTGTTTATACTGTATACGTCCAGCCAAAGCAGGAACACCGGCTCCTATTAAGTATTAAATTAAGTGTGTGAATGCCACTTCATCTCGAGGTGTTGTAACAAAGTTGGGGAGGGGAGGGGGCGGGATAAAAACCTGGGGTTACAAAACAACAACGAAACTGGGGAGGGTGGTGGGCGAACAAGTGAGCCGAGGGGATCGTTGACAGAGGGGGTAGGGTGAGGATGAGAGCAGGACACGTGGGAGAGAGAAAGAGCAACACGTGCGGGACCAGGGGGCAGCAGCACACTAAAATGAGTCCTGGAGGAGGGCAAAGATGAAACTGGTGTTGCCGCGGTCCAGAAATCGAAGAGTGCACGCAGAATGAGGGTGTCGTGGGGGTTGGATTTCCAACAGCAGCGCCAGTCCAGTGATGTCAGGGAGCTCCAGATGAAGTTCAGGGCACTGGGCCTCAGACAAACAAGTGCGAAGAGAGCCATGTGGACACGAGACGTCTCTGAAGTCCATTACACTGGTCAACAACAACAACAAAAAACATTTTTTTCTGGCCTGGACTTTTGCAGCTGTTTTATACTAATTTCAGGGTGCTGATTCCAAATCTGACCTCAGATTTGCTCTATCACATCTCATTTTTATGCTATCGGTATACCCCATTTTCATTGATTTTACCCGAAATTAACTCTGTCACTTATGATTGCAAGTTGTTACGAGTCAGTGACTCCTTTAGTGTTAAAATATGGTGCTGTATTTTTAGGATAGTGTGTTTATAATATCATTTTATGTAGATATCCACATTTATTTAAAAATTTTATTCAGCAGTTTTTATTGAAAATGAAATATTTGATATCTCAAAAACCTGATGGGATAGACAAAAACTGATGCCAGATTTGGAATCAGCACCCCAAAATTACCTTTAAACCGTTGGCATACCTTATGCCAGAAAAAGTGTGTTGACCAGTGTTATGAATGAGTCCCAGGTACTTGGTTCTAGGTGGAGGTGGGGCAAGGATCAGAATGCAGCCTGCTGCCTTCTGGTCACTTAGACAGGCGACTGGGAAAAATAAAATCGTTAATGAAATTGGGATTAGACTATATACATCATAAAGCATGTGATTGGTCAATAGCACTGTCGCGGTCCCACTCATGCCCCTCGATGCGACTGTGATGAAGACCCATTACTCGGAATGTCACATTATATATGTGTACATGTATGTTCTTAGGTTTTATCGGTAAAGTCACGTAGGTAAAACCTCCCTCCCGATACGTTCCATTCATTGGCTACCACATTCTGATGAGCTCCCCCCCCCCTCTCCTCCCCCCTCAACTCGCTTTTAAGGGATTACATCTTGAATCATTGCCTCACTTGATGCAGCTAATCCGGCTGTGATGGTCCCACCTGATGACGGAGACTTGTGTTGCCTCCGAAACGTCGTGATCTTTATTTTATTATATTTTTATTAATTTTGATGTTTTACCTACGTGACTTTACCGAAAAAAACCTAAGAATATGAATCCTTGCAGTCACGAAAGCTTCAAATCTAGTGTACATATATGTTTCTTTATTAAGGTGGTGTTATTGTGTGCAGTTTATTGATATTTGCAAAATAAAGTGCCAGCCAGACAGAGGGGAGGATCTGGCAATGTTTGGCTCAGGCAAGAGGCAGGCAGCTCACAGCGACCTGAACCCACCATGGGGTTGGAAGCAGAAAACAGACACTGCCAAAAGGCCCAAACCATCTTCGCATCTCTTCAGGAAAATGTGTAACCTTTTGTTACTGAACCTTATGTGCCAGAGGCACGTTCAACACTTTCAAGAGCCCGCTTCACGGTTGGGATCACGAGGACATTGAACCCGGGTCCAGTGTGGCGCTATGAATAGACTCCAGCCACGAGTAAGTGTTGCCCGCAGCCGCACCTCCGATTAGCACGGTTGGCTATGTACGGTGCGAACGAAGTTCAACATACACACACGTGTCCATCACTTAGGCACAAGCGCACGAGTGCCCGTTGCTGTACCATGCCTTGAGATGCGGTCGCATATCATCATCGGCAGTCCTGACCAAACCACTGCTGGATAAAGGCCTTTCAAAGCCATCGCCATTCCAGTGAGATGTCCTGCCCAAGCCTACTTATCTTTCTTAGCGCGGTTGCATTTAGACGCTATACAAATCTGACAATGAATCGCAAATTGTCTTGTATTGTAAACGCTTCTTCTAGCAGGAACGCACTCACAGGTGTTATGCTGTCTACTTTACGTGACGATGGCTGTTCCCGCTCCCTGTTTGAAGCCGGAGGCGAGAGCCAAACCGAATGATCTCAATTCACACGCGGCGCGCCAAATGTTGTTGCAGGCATCCAGCCCGGACACGTACCGGGGCAAATACCGCGAGGACACCGCGGATCCTGGCACGGCTTATGCCAACGACGTCAAAGAGTTGTTGGAACAGGCTCACAAGAAGGGACGCAAGGTATGGGGGGCATCGTGCTCTGTTGCAAAACTTCGCCATGTCGGTGGTGTTCAAAACCGTCGAGGAGCACCACCTCCTCCCCGCGTTTTCACTGATTGCGCTGTATGGCTCTGCAATCGTTTTTTTCGGCTTGTACCGCATTTCTTTTCGGCGAGATGTCCCGACGTTCCTGAAGAGACTCCCAGCACGTTGGGCGAAACGTCAGACGTCATGCCGGACAGCACACGGTGCGACCCGAACGCACAGGTTAGAATCGGAATTTTAATTTAGACTTGCGGGAATCCGATGAGCTTCGAAGTTATATTTCACCAATGTCCAGTTTCAACAATGTGCGGATTAATTTTGTACGTGTATAAATCCATTTTTGATACCGCTACCCACCAAGTAATGGATCATTTTGAATGAAAACAAACGTGTCAGTACGACGCGCTACCCGGTAGGAAACACAGCGCCGGCGCTGCGTTTGCGCTTACGAAGGGTGCGCAACACAAGTCGCTGGTCTCCACTCGCGAGTACGGATGGATAAATGTACTCATAGAGTGTTCAAGGAGGGTCGTCGGAGACGTGCTGTGGATAGAATGCGTCAGCACTGTGTAGCCAAGATTTCAGAGCTGACAATCGGCAGCCTCCTTCCTTATCCGCAACCCTAAGGGGTCGACGAGTTGTACACACCACCCCCCCTGCCCTGTGATATTTTCACAACCTTTCACGTACGACGGAGAGCGACTTATTCATACAACAGGACCCCAATTAAGTTACAGTAAAAGGTTACGCTGCGGGAAAGGTCGCTGGTATTCACGCTCCAGAGAAGAAAAGCAACACGCACGCGCACACCCAGAAGCGTGGTTCAAACAAATGGAAAACAGCCAGAGGACTTACTGTGGAAGCATTACGGTGCATTTATCAGACATCGATGCGGTAATTTATTTTCAGTGAATTCCCACCTGGTGACATTCTTGGCAGCGTTGTGACGAGTCGATGCACACTCACACAAGCAGAGTGGAAAAATAATGTTTCTAAATATTGAAACAATTTGGTTGTCAGTCCATGCGTGTAATATTTCACTCGTTGACTGACTCGACTCTTTACAGCTGAAATGGTTGGCTACGTACGATGTGAAATAAGTTCAACATACATACCAATGTGATAATCGGACAAGAGATCCTTTGTGAAAAAAATACAAACAGTAGAAGCTGGAAGGAAGGCTACGTGTGGGTATATCTGCAGTGTGCTTGCATCAGAAGATGAGCTTCACCCCCCCCCCCCACACCGGTGCAACATCAGCACGCGTTGCTTTAATAATAGCTGTATATATGCATGACGTGTTCTGCAGTATAAGATAAACGTGAATGCTGTTTTCCGTTTCGCACGTGAACAATGCGGTGTATAAGAATGTTTCTTGCTGTGTTTGTAGCAGTTGGGCAGTGCAGCAGAATCCAGTGTTGTACTCTATTACGCTGCCACATATATGATACCCACCTTCGCTAACCCGCACTGAACGGAGTAGTGGTCTAGATATGGTCAAATAACGTACCCCCCCCCCCCCCCCCGCCGCCACCGTGAGCTGCACACCATGGGAAGGCCCTCATCCAGCATTGGACTGACAAGCGCTGGGAATGTACATTTTCGGAAAAATCGAACAGGGTGTGTGATGCTATTGTTAGAAGCACTTGGCTCACAATTCGAAAGATTACAAAGTCAAACCCCCCCATTGGCGGGGTTAATTCAGCCCATCACCACTCCGGCGCCGATAAAAGGAGTACCACTTTGTGGGAAGTCAACAGCGGTTGTCCTATGGAGAAACTGGTCCTTGCCATGGGAACGTGGATTTTCCACCACTGGCTCAGGGCCGCCAATGTTAGTGAGAGCGCCGCGCCAATAGCTCGTCGGAGCGGGGAGACGCTTTTAACTTTGTGATTTGTGTGGAGAAAAACGAAAGGATGTCGCGTTTTCGGTGTTTAAGAGAGGACAGTGCACGGTGTGGCATTGCCTCGCGTGTCGCCAAGCGCGATATTGTCTCTCCACCATAGATCGCCGCGTTTGTGGCCGAATCCATGCAGAGTTGTGGGGGACAAATTATTCCCCCGCCCGGATATTTCAAGCAGGTCGCCGAGTATGTTGCATGCCGACTCATGACCTCACCATGACTCGCAACCAGCAAACCTACTTCTCAAACAAATACACGTATTCACCACGTCAAACTTTTACATTTATTCTCTGTCGTTCCCTATGATCTCTGCCTTGCTCACACTGATTTTGACATGCGAGCTCATGTTTCTTGTCTAATTTTTGAAGTGTTAATAAGGTTTCTCTCGTTTGCGTTTGGCTTATTTTAATTGCTTGAGCCTTATATATATGTGTGTGAATATATATATTTTGGCAGAAGTGCTGAGATAATTTTGACGTGCAGCAACGACTATGTTTTAACTGCAGCTGCCTTGTGGAAATACAATGGCGCGACGCTAATGAACGTTGGAAAAATTTTGCTTGAATTAATTGTCACATCCGGATTCGAATTTTTTTGTACGTTGACACTTCTAAAACTACCCACAATATACGACGATTGCACAGTTGGGATTATTTCAAAATGTATTGTTCCAACAACAACACACTTTAGATTTATTTTCAAATAGGAAGCATGAATGAAAAGAAAGTAACCGACGTAGTAAAATTAATTATCTCCCTGGAAGACAAATATACATTTCGCATTTCAATTAAATAATCAAATGGTGGCACACTGGTTAGCACACTGAACCATAAATGCGGTGATTTGAATTTGATAAATACTTGAACTGGCTCTGGCTGTCTCTCTTCATCAATCTGCACTAACCAGCATGGTGACGTATGGTCAAACTACCCCTATTCTGAACCCAGCATGGGGAGGCCTTCTTCCAGCATTGGATTGACAATGAAATGTAATTTTATACGATAATTAAACTATTCAGACTCGAATCGTGTTATGCAAAGCATGGGATTAATGACACTCAACAGAGTCCTTTTGTTGACGATTCTGTGATTATCAGCAACAACAGTAGCAGCCGTAGGCATGCTCATTCCTGACAATTGTCAGTTTCGTGTACTTGACAATGACCGTGACCAAACCGCCATTCTGCCTTTTCTACCCTGGAGCTAATATTCGCGTTTTCCCACTGCTTTTCTCTGGATTTTCTTTTTGGGCTGCTGTCAGCTTTTTTACACCTGGCGTGATTCAGCATGTAAAAACACTGATGCATTTTTGCTTGAATTATTTCGATAAATTGACAATGTTTTTTTTTGCTCTTAAATTACCAATAATTGCCAACGTATAACATAAAAGTTAAACGCTCTGCAAATATGACCAATCACTTTTCGTTCATTATGTACCGTAACACTACGGCCATCGCATTTGGCCCACCGATTGCCGCAGCCCAGCGACTCACGCGTGGATTTTTTCCCCCCTTGCCTGTCATCGTCACCCGCACCCATCTCCCCACACCGCCCGTCTATCCGCCACGCAGACACGTTCGCCGCGCTGGAGGCATCTTCATCGCCGACGAGGTGCAGGTCGGCTTTGGCAGGGTCGGCAGCCACTTCTGGGCCTTCCAGCTCCAAGGGGAGGACTTTGTGCCCGACATCGTGACCATGGGCAAGCCCATTGGCAATGGCCACCCCATATCGTGCGTCGTGACCACCCGCGAGGTGGCAGACAGCTTCAGGGCCAGCGGCGTGGAGTACTTCAACACCGTAAGTAACGCGCACACTCACCAGCACTGCCGAGCTGTTCTAAAAAATAAACTATTTTTTTTTATTCTACCCGGTAAGGCCTACTGAGCTATATAGCTATTTTTATTGAGAAGCAACCTGGCCACAAATGATAGCTCAACGAAGTGGAAATTTGGCTGAACGAGCATTTAATGGGCGCACGGAATATGGGGCGGTGGTGACACGGCCCAGCGCGAGCACGTTTTTGCGCTTGTTGCAAAGGTTTGTGGTTCTGACCCAGCGGCTGCCCTGGTTATTACTGCGTGGTATTAACCACGATCATACCACGCGACGTCTGCTTAACAGTGGACATTAAAGATCCCATGACATTATTTGATATGGGTAGGCCATCAAGTGCTGGGATGACGGTGCGAATATGCCATATTTGCAAAAATGACTCGCAAATTGCTCAATTAGGTTTACACACGACACAATCATTGCCCCATACTGGCAGACTAATGCCCGTATGCTGACAAGGTGCTGAGTCACCTTGTGGAGTTGTGCCCACTGGGACAGCTGTCGCTGGCAGTGCCTATTGAAACGTGTTGATGAGATGCCATATGAGACGCTCCAGGCGTATCAAAACAAGTACGGTGGGTTTTTTTACACCGCCATCGATGAACGATATTTCTATTAACGATGCGCCTCCCATAGGGTCCCATTGTTTCTATTAACGATACATTTTCAACAAACGATGTGTTTAACGATATCACGCGGCCGGTAATTTCGGCCAATCATAGCGCTCCTAATTAAACTCATGCAGACCTCAGCCAATCAGCGACGCCCTTTTATGAGCATTTTGAGAGCAACTGGCTGCTTGCTTTTAAATGTTTAATGTGAGTTTAATACTTATGGAAACAGCTCTCTTGAATATTTCACGTTGTTTCATTTAAATGTTAAATAACATCAATAACAATGACCCCTAAAATTAATGTTAAGAAAGTGAGGAAAACTGTTTTCTCCCACCCCAAACTTCTCCATCAACTCCTTAAGCCAACCACCTTCTTAGCCTAAGGTAAGCATTTACATTTTATGTTAAATGTATGCAAATTTGGATGCTCTATGTATTAGTTATTTATCCATGTTTCTATTAACATGAATGTTTTAATTTGTCCGTATAAGTTTTTTTAATTGCGTGTTTAAATATTATAAATTCTATTTTTAGGGTGAAAAATCGTCTTCGAACAAATTAAGCCTTTAATATGTATTTCCTATATTCGATTAACGATCATTTCAATTAACGATGGCTTTCGTGAAACCAGTTTGTATCGTTCACCGGGGGACCACGGCATATAATTATTATACCACTGAGTCCAGTGCGCTGCCGCTGGCAAAACCGGTGAGGCCAGTTTCGCCCAACAGTTGGAACAAGACGTCATGACCCAGCTGATGTCATTGCCAGCGGCTGAGAAATGTTTTTGTTAACACCTTCTTGTCACATCTCTTGTCACATTTATTGGCAGTTTGGCGGCAACCCGGTGTCGTGCGCCATCGCCCTGTCGGTGCTGGACATCATAGAGAAGGAGAATTTGCGGGAAAATGCCGTGTCCACCGGGCGCTACCTCGTGGAGCTGCTCAATGAGCTGAAGACGAGGCACGAGATCATCGGCGACATCAGGTGACCAACGAATGTCAGAGCGGCGAGAGGCCTCGTGCGGAGCGCGCCTGCGGCTCCAGTTTAGCGAGAATACTGGCCTCCCCTGCGCCTGTCACGCGCAGGTGGATTCACCAATGATTGCAACACGAAGGCAGCGTGTGGCCACAGTGCTCCAGCGCTGGGCTCCCACCAGAGGAGTTTCTCACGGCACGCTGCATGGCCTGGACGCCACTGGCGATGTAGCCACTGCTGCCAGAACATACCAGTTACTCGATCAATCCACCTGCACACATTCGCTGACACTGCAACACCTGGATTGGAGATTGGATAGCCTCCTCAATCTGGAGCCACAGGTTGCCACGAGCCACTATCTGTTACAGCTTCTTCTCTGTGTATCTCATTGTGAGTTGTCAAACTTCAATTGCTGTACACCGCGCGATAGCTAATTCGCACGAGAGGGTGGGAATTTTGTGGAAATTCAAGCCTCGTGATAACTTTCGATTTAAAGCTTTCGTGACTGCAGGGATTCATTTTAGTTCTTTCGGTAAAGTCACGTAGAATGGAAATAATAAAATAATAAAATAAAACATAATAAAATAATTTTCACGACGTGAGGACAGCTGCTTGCGTTGTGGCCGAAACGTCGTGAGAATTATTTTATTATGTTTTATTTTTATTATTTTATAATTTCCCTTCTACGTGACTTTACCGAAAGAACCAAGAAGATCGTGATAACTTGTTAATTTTGAGTCGAGAAAACGAATGTCCTCTTGTTTATAACAACCTGCTTGTCAAGTTTGGATTTCCATCACATGCGCTCTCGGGTTTAAGTAACTCGGTGCACGTGTGAGATTGCATTTTTATCACTGCAGCTGAGTCAAACAAGGAGGAACGGGTTAGCAGAACGATGCCAACACCGTGGGCTGTGTTGTGTCTCTTCCTATCGTAGCTAACAGAATTGAACCCAATTATTAATCCAGAAAAGCCTCAGAGTCTCAAGACTTTGCTTTAGAAAGGCCCTGCTGCATTTGGATATTTGGACACTACCATTTATTGAACGATTGGCATACGTGGGAGGAAACCAGAGGATACGGAGAAAATCCTCGAACACGAGGGGGGTGGCACTCGATCCTACCACCTCCTGGCCACATCCCGCAGCCCCACGCCTGCAACACCTCTGGAATTCGCTGGCGTGGTCACGCAACCAAGGATTCGTTTTTGGATGCGAGACCATTCACCTTGGACCCAGTTATCCAGACTCAATGATCGACTGAGCTGGGGGCATATTTAGCGAGTTGATTACCTCGTTGTGGTTGGTAAGACTCGGAGCTTCACTGTGATAATACAACTGTTAGAATAATGACAATTGTGAGTATTTTTTATTTACCCAGGAGAGCCACACTGATTTTGAAGACTCTTTTTCAGGTGGCTCCTCAGTTAGGATGTTTGACCAACACCAATTACAATGCGTACATTTAGCTGTGGGAGAAACCCAGAGAACCCTCGTGCAGAATAAGGGGGAACACATAACAAAGTCCACAGAGAAAGGCACCCTAGGCAAGACTCGAACGCAGGTACTTCTTGCTGTGAGGAGCCACAGTGAGCGCCGCTCTCTCCATGCCGTTCCCCACGAATCTCTGCAGGGGGCAGGGACTGTTTGTCGGCGTGGATCTGGTGAAGGACAGGCAGTCAAGGGCAGCAGCAACTGCAGAGGCCGAGCACATCATCTACAGGCAAGTGGACGACCCTCGCTTTAATATTCATTGTTTGGAATGTTTGGCCTCGTGGTTACACATTAACACATACCTCGTATGTCCACTCGATTACCACTCAGTAAAAGCCACACATTTAGATGGTCGTACTGTTTATGCTTCACTTGCTTTGTTCTTCGTGTCTTCAAATAATGGTAGGTGCTGTTGCCTGGTTCTGTTTGGCTAGCGAATGGTTTACCCCTTCCTCTTGTTGCCGTTGCCGTGACTCCTGTGAGTAGCGCCCAGCCGAATCGTGCTGTATAGCCCTCTGATGTGTTCTCGGGTTTGTGCCGCGTATTCAGCAACCGAATATGGAGTCCCTAAGAGAAGCTGCCAGCACGTAGAGTGATACGTCATGGCGCACAACACGTAATAACGCCCAAAAAACACATCGGAGGGCTACGGTCTGTGACAGGACTGACAGGGAATTCACAACCGTGGTCCGCGAGTCCATGGGAAGCAGTCCGCGCATGCTACGATTAGGAGCAGTTTTTATATTGACAAATATGTTATTGGTGCTTGGTGTTTCGTGAAACATTTTTTAGGTTTGACAGTGGTATGCAGATCCAGACAGGCTGGGAATCAATGCTCTCTGACATATAACGGCAATATAAAAATATCATTGGGGGGAACAACTGCCCCTTTTGTCCCACCTCCTTACCCCTGGGTGAACCTATGTTTTGTGTTGCAGCCTCTGTTTTTGGCCATCGTGGTCGCAGCACAGTGGTTAGCACGCTGCCCTACGAACTCGGCGACCAGAGTTGCATTCCCGCTCACGGCCAACAACAGTGACGATTATCTGAACCGGCCCTCGGCACCCCTAGGTCAAATGAGTACTTGGTGTGGTGTGTAAACATCGCGACTGGGGAGTCAAATGCGGTGGGCGTTGTGCTGGCCACCTACTCCTTCGTGTGCCGTGCTGGCCTTCATAGGTGCTTGCTAACAGCATTTGCCCCAACAGTTTGTTTAGGCTGTGGGGGGGGGGGGGTGGGGATCATTGTTTTTGGTGGTGGTAGTAACAGCTACGTTTTGTCGGTCAGGTTGAAAGAGGAGCACGTGCTGCTGAGTGCAGACGGGCCCTACAGCAACGTGCTCAAGTTCAAGCCGCCCATGTGCTTCAACAGGGACGACGCCAAGTTTGCTGTGAACAAGATCGACCAGATCCTCATGGGTAATCCAGCTCGACCGGCGCCCACCCATTACATGTGTAGTGTTCTTCATGGAGGCACACACTTGAACTTGGAGGCAACACTTTATTATAACACCCCAACATGGTTATCACTCAACGTTACAACGGTTAACTAGATCCCAACAGGGCAACGACCGTAGGACGTGCCGACCTCCCCCAGAGAGCCTCGATCGCTCTCAGGACCCCGGCTTTATGCCGCTGAGCGTGGCCTTGCCCCGCCCTTGGCCACGCCCCCTTCTGGATCTCTCCAGAAGCTTCTCGGCCCTCATCACGTGTCCCCCGAGCCCCGTTTCGGGCCCCCGCGCTACCCTGTCCCGGTCACGTGCCCTCTCGGGTTCACACAGAGTATCACGTCCTCACTTGCTCTTTGTCTGACCCTCACCAGAACGATGCCCCCGATGGCCCGCTTCCATGTCAACCCTATTCTGGTGTGCTGGAGGAATGCAATGAGCTTGATAGCTCATCGCATTCCTCCAGTATAAAATAAATATTGTGGTTTTGATTCTGACTTGTCTGGAAACAGAGAGCGAACGCAACAATGTAAGGACTTTTGTATTTACATTAGTTATTTGTCATCTGACATGTCCTTTCCCCCCTACCCACATTTAAAATCGCCTCGGCTGTCTTTGTAACGAAGCAGATTTTGGATGGGCCTCTGAAGAAGCGCCGTCGTCGTGCCACTAGAGGGCCTTTGAGCCACGAATTTGTCAATCTGACAGCCATGTAGCCCCCACCATCTCACAACGTCCACCACAGTCGAGTTTGTCTCATGCCCTTACTCAAGCCAATGATTAACAATGCCAATTAATTATCGAGAAAAGCCTTCACGAATTCCGATACTTTTATTTTTCAAGAGGGTCCTGGTTATTGTATGTATGTATGTTGAACGTATTGCTCACCGTATGAAGCCAAACGTGCTAAGGACGACAAACTAGACACAAAAAGCATTTCTCAAGAAATTTGTTTAAAATCTAGATGTAAAACTGCATAGCTCCAGTGGCTTCCTAATATCAGAAGGAAAAGCGTTCCATTATTCTTCTTAGTTCTTTCGGTAAAGTCACGTAGAATGGAAATAATAAAATAATAAAAACATTATAAAATAAAGTAATAAAATAAAATATAAAATATTTTATTTTATTATTTTATTATTTCCATTCTACGTGACTTTACCGAAAGAACCAAGAAGAATAATGGAACGCTTTTCCTTCTGATATTAGGAAGCCACTGGAGCTATGCAGTTTTACATCTAGATTTTAAACAAATAATAAAATAATAAAAACATAATAAAATAAAGTAATAAAATAAAATATAAAATATTTTATTTTTATTATTTTATTATTTCCATTCTACGTAACTTTACCGAAAGAACCAAGAAGATGAATCCCTGCAGTCACGAAAGAAGCTTTACATCGAAACGTTCCATTATTGGTAATGACCAACAATCAGTATTGGATTCAAGCAAAATGCAGAACCTGGAGAAAACCCTCCACACACTGCCATCTCCTGGCCACACCTAGAAACCCCACACAACATCAGACAAGCCTCGTGGTCACCTACGTTACGAACCAGACTCTAACCGTGCCGTGGTAGTACACACCAATAATCCAATACTTTGAAGGCAGTGAGGAATGGTGGATCGCAGAAAAGTTGCAAAACGCCCTTCCTGTGGATGTTGAGGAGGTGCCACAGCGTACTAGTATCATCTGTTCCGTATGGGATAGTGTTGCGCCCTCGCAAGTGTGTGTTTCTTCGGGGCACTCTCATTTCCTCTAAAACGGATAAACATTCATTGACGGAAAACATAAATATACAGGGGACTGCAGAGCTTAGGCAATTGTTATCGCCTCACTGCCTTGCAGCTTCACTGTGGTCCCCCAGCGATCGTGAGATGCAATTTGCATGAATGACAATGTTTTCTAAAAGTAAACATTATTAATATTATAACCCTGCTTAGCTTCCAAGCTACGTTGAGATTAGGCACATTCAAGGTGATTTGGTAGTTGGCCAAATTTGCCGCTGCAATTTTGTTTGGGTATTTTCTACTACTCGCATTTTTATTGACCAAGTTAGTATCATATTTGTAGAGTTATTCAAGAGTTATTTAAATTTGCAATCCAGTGTACCTGCCGTGCGTTGTTCAGCATGATGTCTGACGTTTCACCCCTCGTGCTGGGAGCTTCTTCAGGTACTGAAGAAGCTGAAAAACTGAAATATTTTATCTTTGTCAGAATCTTTATTTAGACTGGAGGAATCCAATGAGCTATGAAGTTCTTGTTCACATGTGTCCAGTAGGGGATCAACACGCGGTACAACCCCAACACACACAGAGGAGAGCTAATCTGGAAGTACATTTTCAAAGGGTGGCAGCTCTGTAAGCAAACAAGTGTTTGCCGTGCTTATTTTAGCTCCCAGCCTTGATTGGATGATGCTTGAGAGCATGCAGACCCAAAAATCAGGCTCCTTGTTTTGCTGCCTGCTGCTGATAAGCTGTGCCCCATGGGTAGGTGTTCTTCTGCAAGAGAAGGACAAGAGAGGGACAAGTGGAGAGACGTGTGCTTGGTACTGAGAATTCAATTATTATTTTTTGAATTAAATTTTTTTTGCATCGCGTGCTTTCACATGCGCTTCTGCGGCCACCTGGAACTCTCTTCCATTCGATATTAGGAAGCCACTGGAGCTATACACTTTTAAATCATCTAGATTGACAAACTCATTTCTTTAGAACTGCTCTTTGTGTTTAGTTTGTTGTCCTTCCCCGACACCTCTGATTAGCACGGTTGGCTCCGTACGTGCGAAAGAAGTTCAACACACATACATGCATACATGCAAATGTACGTCATAGCAATTATAATGCGGAACTATAATAATAGAGCACTGCCTACCCTTGAATCTTTTTGCGTAGCATTGACTTTATTGTCAACAAAGACACGTCGCTGCTGATGTTTTTCATTATCAGCAGCAGCATCCACACCAGTGACGTTTCACACCACTCGATATTAATATAACCACATTGAACTGAACTGCTGCACTATTGTGAACCACTGGACCATTCAAGTCAAAGTGTCCCGACTTTCCGCTTTGCATGGCCACTGGTGAATTTATCGACCAAAGATGTACGATAGACTGAGTTAACAATCCTGGTCAGGATTTGAATGCACTGTGCTATTATTTGCCCATGGCCAAATCAACCGGAATGTGCCAGATGTTTCGTCACTTCTCGGAATCTAACCACGGTTAAAGGCTGAATAGAGCTTGGATAGGCAACCGCCATGCATAAAACATGTGTGTCTGCTGCCGGGCTATGTCATTCGAGTGCAGTGCAGCAAAAGGCATTGTTTTAATGCACCCTCCTCTGTCCTCTATGCACCAACACTGACTACCATGGCAAAGTATGGTCAAATAACCCTCGGGACGTGGGGTGGTACTTACCCAGCCGTGAATGAACCAGAAGGACTTTGCGTGTGCTCTTACTCCAGCACAACAAGTGAAAAGCAGGAGAGATGACGACAATTTCCTTTTCAATGTTTGTTGATTTCCACAGAGATTACTCAAGGTGAGAAGGTGACGACTCTCAAGGCACTTAAAAACCTGAAGATGGATTCTCATCAGGCTCAGGTATCTCTTTGTTAAAATTGTGCAAGCTAACGGCACTCCACAGTCCATATAAAGCAGCTCGCCGAGATAAAAGAAGAAATGAAAATCATGCTTATGCGTTGATCTTGTAACGCTTACAAAATTTGGGTAAGCGTTTGGGAGAGTTTGTATATTTTAAAATAGCCCCTTTTTTCGATGTAAAGTTTTCGTGACTACAGGGATTCATATTCTTGGTTCTTTCGGAAAAGTCACGTAGAAGGCAAATAATAAAATAATAAAAATAAAACAATAAAATTCTCACGAAGTTTCGATTGCAACGCAAGCAATCATCATCAACTTTTCTTGCTGTGGTTTTCACACCTGATGATGATTGCTTGTGTTGCAATCGAAACGTCGTGAGAATTGTATTTTTATTTTATTTTATTATTTCCCTTCTACGTGACTTTACCGAAAGAACCAAGAATATGAGCCCCTTTGTTGCTGCAGATTGGGTCTCCACGTTTTGGACAATGCTTTTGTAAATGTGGCCAGTTTTCTCAAGGGTAACTCGTGAATAGAAACACATTGTATCATGTTTACAAAGCTCCTTTCCCGCACTCGGAGCACTCGTTTAATATGCCCTAAAAATATGGCTTGCCACAGGTTAATACAAATTAATATATATTAAAAGCTATATATATTTTAAAATATATGAAAAAATGTCGCGTGACTTTTTTCCCCCCCGCACCTCCGATTAGCACGTTTTGCTATGTTCAATGTGAAAGAAGTTCAACATACACAAATACATTGTGAACCCCTCCCTTTAAGTATAGACAGAGCTGATGCAAAAATACGTTCAACATAGTTAAACATCTATTAATTCTAAAACAAGACATTGTCTATACTCTTTGGTACCTTTCGGTAAAGTCACGTAGGTATAAAATAAAATAAATCACGACGTTTCAGGCGCAACACAAGCGCCCATCATCAGGTAGGAAAGCATGGTCTGCTGCTGAGGCAGACTGTTTAAAAGGTTTGAAAAGACATTGTCTCTTTCGATTTAAAGCTTTCGTGACTGCAGGGATTCATCTGATTCAGACTCTGTCTTCTTGACAGACCTGTTCTCCACCTGAGGACGGCTGCTTGCGTTGTGGCCGAAACGTCGTGAGAATTATTTTATTATGTTTTATTTTTATTATTTTATTATTTCCATTCTACGTGACTTTACCGAAAGAACCAAGAAGACATTGTCTCTTCTCTAAGAGGGACCATTTTCTGCATCGGTCATCATGACCATTGCATCCTCAGGGCCTTCATGTTTTTCCTTTGAACTGCTCCTTATATGCTCTCAACTCACAGGAGGTAGTACATTCGGATTTAATGGTGTACTTTGCGAGTTGTGCACACTTGCCTCCCGCAGGGGATATTGTGTCTTCTGTTTATGATCAATAAATAGATCCCAGAGAAGGAGAAACTTCTGAAAACCACTCTAATCCTCCCACTACTACTGTGCACGAGTACTGCTGTGATAGAGTTTGTCACGATACGTTATTATATTTCACTACTCAATAATTTTACCAATATCGATTTTCCAGAACTTGGTCCTTGTATTTTTTTTTTACGCTATGCCGTACCTCAAATGTGTAAATGATGAGGAAGCCGATCACGGCATAATTTTTGCACATGCAATGCACATCATTGTGTGTAGTCAAACCTATTTGCTGTACTTCAACTGCAATTAACTTAACTTAAGCCTGCCACAAGTATTCCTAATCATTGCAAGTTTGCAATGTATAATGCTAATAATGCACACGTTGCAAGTGACGTGAAAAACAGTTAACAAAATTAGATCAATTATGAAAACAGCGGTATGTGATTGCCATGCCAGCAATTGTGGCAAAACAATATATTGCAAAGCATTGACTTAATGAATAACAGCAAATCAATTTAGAACTTTAATTATTTTTTCTGTTATTTCACGGGGTTTTTTTTATTCCAGGAAATAACAATTAACTGCACAACATGACTCGTGATTATGATGATAGTTTGAAAATCGGACGATATAATTATCATGGCTGTCAACACTTGCCCACGTGTTTAAAAATTGTTTTATTATATACAATGCAATTATTATTATTATTAACCTCTTGCCACTTGATTTAAATTATAAATGCGGCCAAAATCACTCCCGTTTAAAGGCGAGTCTCCCTGTTATTTGTGACTGTCGTAATTTTCTTTTCATTAAGAATAACCGTTGAAATATTTCACCTCATGGTTACAATCATGTGAGATGACCGCACTATTGTGTTTGTGTTTTGCTTCGTAACTTCCGAATTCCTTGTTTTCATGTGTCCCAGGAATCAAAGCTCATCCATGAAAATGGAGCGCACTGAGACCACATCTCGGTACGTATAAAAGCTTTGTACCCAAATACATGATGCTACCACTTGACATGTTTTAGAGTATCGACATCTTTCTTCAAAAATTCTAATTTTAACTCGGCTGACTGGTCCACTCACATGTTATTTTTGCACGATGCCAGTGCAAGGGACATTTTGTTCGTATTCTCTCATATGCACTCCTGCTATTGGCACGAATATATGCGAGCACTATGCCAGTAAAATGCTTATCATGCGGCATTAAAGCTTTCATATGGTTGTTATCGTTAAGCCTTTGTTTTCAACCGTGATGCCAGCATGACCCTGGCTTTGGAAAGAGCACATGTGTCTTTAGGAACATGACATCTCACAATGGCCACGAATGTTCATTCGTCCTTCGTTCGTTCATTCGTTTCTCAATCCGCTTGCCTTGGTGAGGGTCGCGGTATGTTGAGTAGGGCACTCCAGACCTTCCTTTCCCTGGTGACAGACTCTAGCTTTTCCTGGGGAATTCCCAGGTGTTCCCAGGCCAGCCGAGCAACACTGTACCACTAGTGTGTCCTGGGCTGGCCTCAGGGTCTTTGCCCAGTGGGACATGCCCGGTGGAGTTCCAGGGGGAGTCTACGGGGGGCATCCTGACCAGGTGCCTGAGCCACCTCAACTGGCTCATCGTGATCCGGAGGAGCAGAGGCTCGACTCTGAGGCTCTCCCGGATCACCGAGCTCCTCACCCGGTCACAGAGAGTGAGCCCGGCAATCCTGCGGAGAAACTTAATTTTTGCTCCTTGTACCCGCGATCTCATCGTTTCAGTCATTACCCAAACTCATGGCCATAGGTGAGGGTGGGACTGTAGATCGACAGGTAAACCAAGAGCTTTGTTCTAGGACTCAGCTCCTGCTTCACTACCACGGAACGATACAGTGCCCGCAACACCGCGGACGCCGCACCGATCCGCCGGCCAATCTCCCGCTCCCACTTACCATCACTCGCGAAAGAGACCCCGAGGTACTTAAACTCCTCCACTAGGGGCAGCTGTTCCCTCCTCACATGGAGAGAACAATCCACAGTCTCCCGAAGGTGAACCATGACCTCAGATTTGGAGGTGCTGATCCCAGCCACTTCACACTCGGCATCAAACCGTTTAAGTGCACGCTGGAGATCACAGACTGACGAGGCAAAGAGGGCAATGACATCTGCAAAAAGTAGCGACGCTACCTCCATGCCCCCGTACTGGACAATCTCCGTACCTCAGCTGCGCCTTGATATTCTGTCCAAGAACATCACAAAGATGAGTGGAGTCCAACACCCATAGTGAACGACTTTGATTTAACACCAAGAATACGGACACAGCTCTCGCTCCGGGAATAGCAGGACCGGGTAGCACACACAAGTGGCATCGGTGCATCTTACTCCTGCAGCACTTCCCACAAAACATTGCGGGGAACACAGTCATATGCTTTCTACAAGTTTACAAAGCAAAGGTAGACTGGATAAGCATATTCCCACGACCCCTAAAATATCTGTGAGAGGCAAAAGAGCTGGTCCATTGTTCCACGACCAGGACGGAATCCATCATTATACCTCCTTTGCCAGTACCAAAATATAATATGGTTTTTCCCCTTTTTTCACATGAATTCTTGTAAAAAGGTTTCAGTTTTGTTGCCAAAAAAGGGGGAAAATCCTATTATTATATTTTGGTACTGGTAAAGGAGGTCTAATGATGTAGATGCTCACCCCGAGCCCTCAATACTTTGATAGTGCATTGTCTTTGAGCTGTACGCCTTTTGGCGTCCTCTGGTCGAGCACCAATTGGGTCAAGGCTCAAAAGAAAGCCGTCCCTTGGTGTGGACCAATCAGTTTCAAGGACAAGGTATATATTATCAGAGTGTGTTTTTTGTTTGCATTTTGACTGCAAGTATTGTGGTTAATGCAGACATGAATCCTTGTAAAAGGGTTTCAGTTTTGTTGCCAGAAAAAAGGGGAAAACCCCTATTGTTATGACGGAATCCACATTGTTCCTCCTGAATCTGAGGCTCGATCTCCGTGCGGAGCCGCCTCCTCCAGCCCTCAGGCATCCGCTTTGCCTGCGACGCTGAGAAGTGTGATCCCTCTGTAGTTGGAGCACACCCTCTGGTTCCCTTTTTTTAAATGGGAACCACGACCCCAGTTTGCCAATCTTGAGGTCCTGTACCGACCTTCCATGCAACATTGAAGGGCGTGTTAATTTGGCAAATTTCATTTAAACGTGTTCATAAAAAAACGTTATATACACATACTAGCTTTACTCCCCGGCTTCGCCCGAGACTTGGATTCTTGTCTTGGATTAATGCACGGCCTACGCGGAGGGTGGGGTGGGAGGGGATGCGTGACGTCAGCAGGCACACTGTGTAACGCGGGTGACATCACAGATGTGACGTCACCGCTCACAAAATAAATCCATTATTGCGCCCCCCCCCCCCCCCCCCCCAAATACAAAAGTCAATATTTATACTTTTTGCAATGTTACAGTCTGGAAGCTACCCACATGCCAAATTTCAAGTTTGTTGCATGTTGGGAAGTATGCTAAACATTTTGAACAGACACACATATTTACAAATTTCCCTTTTTATATGTATAGATAGGTCAAGGTAATGGTGCAGCCATGACAAGTCTTGCTCACATCACTGCTGGCAGAACGGTCTCCACTAGAGGGAGCTCTACAGAGCTCGAGAGAGCTCCCTCGAGAAGAGGCCCCTCATACAGTACTGTAGCTCGAGTCGACAGTCCCTTATGGCTCTAACAGATGTCCCCTATAGCACTAGTAGAGGGCTCCTATAGCTCTAATAGAGGGCCCCATAGCTCTAGTAGAGGGCTCCTATAGCTCTAGTAGAGGGCCCCTATGGGTCGAGTAGAGGGCTCCTGAAGCTCTCGAGAGGCATATGGGCCCTCTGCTATATTCCATATAATCATGTATGTGTCCCACTTTTCACATCTGGCATTGCCAGCGAACACGTACGTAATTTAACTATGATTGAGCGTGTGAACCCAAACAAGATCATGCTTTTCTGAGAGATGTGCGTGTTTGATCAGAGATGCTCTTATTAATGTCCCCACAACCCCATGGCGCAAGGGCAGGACTTGACTGGAGGCAGCTCGCCGTACGGACGAAAGGCGGACGACGCAAGGCTTCCTCATGACGAAGACAACGATCCCCCCATATAGCCTTAAACAGACTGTTCGGGCAAGTGCTCTTAGCGAGCACGTATTATGGCATCACACACGCACACATTAACCTCAACAGCACACATGCCCGGCGTGCTAAACTACGATGTCAACACAGAAAATCGGAGTAGGGTCTTGAAAATTGCATTGTTTAGTAGAAACAAATATTTCAGTTGGTTTGAAAAGGGTATAATGTGTATTAAATGTTTGATTGTGTAGCTACTAACCACGTCGTTGTGGTGTTTCCTAGCTACAAATAACACATGAATGTATTATTCAGGTATGACACTAAGTCTGTAAATCATGTTTTTCTCACGCTCTGATTTTTATGCTCAGAATATACATTGGCAATTATTTTTCTCTTGGGCATTCAAATGCAAAATGTTGGTGCATGCCAGGGAAATGTGTTGGTGAATATATCTTTATTAAGAAATAGAACATTACACGCTTGAGAACTTCGAATTAATCTTCGCCCAACGGTGGCATATGTGTTACAAATGGCTAAGCTGTATACTTATCTCAAAACACTGTATTTTAACTGCTGATTATGGATCATTCAACATTATCAACGTCATATGGTATTTGTCAAACATCCCAATGCAGTACCCTCCGATAATAGATTATTAAGGCTCAGTAGGGTTTTCCCAGGTAAATAATGGGAATTTGTATTACTATACCTTAGGCTTCTTAGGTGGGGGAGGTAAAGCCTAATCCATCATCGTCAGCTATGATCATTCCACTGCAGAATGAATGTCTCCTTCAGCCATCGCCATCCCTCATAGCCCGACGTTGCAACAATCCATCTAAGCTGATTTCATCGCTACATCACCATGGTACGTGATAACGTTTGAATTAGTCCTAAATGGTACATTACAGACTCCACAAATGCAACCACTGAACCCAAAGCCGACTATTTTGGGAATGTTAATTATTTTGCATGTAACAAAAATGTACTGCTGTCATGATTGTTGACCATTTACCTCAAGAAAACCTTTATATAAGCTAAAAGGTAATTTTAAAATGTGCCCCCCCCCCCCATATAGTTTTAACAATTTACTTAGAATATTATATTATATGCCCAACTAACTGAACGTCGGGTGTTAATATGATCAGCTGCTTTTAAAAAGAGCATTAATGCAATAAGGGAATGTGTAATGCTTGACGTACTTTAATTAGGTTTTAAAAAAAACTTTTTAAAGGTTAATTGTGAGCCGGCACGACTGCTGATATACTCATATCAATAATTGTTGAATACATTTTTTGTTGTTAATTTTTACGTTTTATATAATAGCTGATTCATGCAATATATTGAGTGTTTAAAGGTGCATGCCACACCTTACCGCTCACACCAAACAAAGATCAGGCTCGATTTTTGCAATGAGTGCAATGCATGGATTGGCGAATGCCACATTAAGCTTTGTTTCGGAAATAAAAACATTAAATTTCTCTACGTGTGGCAAATGTTGGAAGTCTTTCTGTCGTTCACCTTTTATGTAGCACCACGCACGAGGGAGGTGTTTTCGTGGCACTGGTGTTGTCAATTAAAAAAGCAATCTAATTAATTTAATAAGTAGGGCTTTCACGACCAATGGGATTCGTCATTGGACTCTTTTGGGTTAAGTCATCGTGTAAATAATGTGTGTCGTCAACCCTCCGCCACCCGACACAGCCAAAGAATACAAGTGTCAGTGAATCGAACGTGCCAAATTTATTACTCTCCAACACAGCAACGCACTGGCGTGCTGAAGCAGGAATATATATTTTGCACGTGTCATTTACGTGACACTTTTATTACTTGGCTCTTTCGAATTCGGAAGAGAGTCGATGACACATTTTTACATGACCTAACTCAAACGAAACCAATGATGCATCTAATTAGGTTTGAAAATGCTTCTCCCCCGCCATCTTTGTGGAATGTACGTATGCTGAACCTCTTTCGCACCGTACGTAGCCAACCGTGCTAATCAGAGGTGCGGGGAAGGACAACAAACTAAACACAAAAAGCAGTTCTAAAGAAATGCGTTTACAATTTAGGTTTAAAAGTGCGTAAGCTCCAGTGGCTTCCTAATATCGGAAGGAAGAGCGTTCCAGGTGGCCACAGAAGCGCATGTGAAAGCCTGCGATGATGCGACCGACTTTGGTCGATGGCCATCCAAAAGCCGCTGCGAGGATAACCGGAGTTTCGCGTGATGGTTTATGGTCCTTGATGAGATCAGCAAGGATTTGTGGTTCATCTGCGGCAAACACTTTGCGTGTAAGGGGCCGTCCATAAATGACGTCACGCACCTGGGGGGGGGGGGTTCAGACATTTCTGACGATGTGTGACAAGGGGAGGGGGCGTTTGAGAAATGTGACGTCACATCAAAATTCGCAACTTTAAATAAATATAGACAACACGTTCTACTTAATGAAATAGACTTGTTTTTATAAATATTTTCACCTACAACATTAGAGTGCAGCGGCACATTAAAAACGCACTACAGTGACAACAGTTTAAAGCGATTTGACGCATGTTTTATTTGGGGGGGGGGGGCAGAGCTTTGTGACGTCATTTTTGAGGGAGGGGGGGGTTTGACTTTTTGTGACAGCGTGTGACGATGGGGGGGGTCAAAAATCGTCAAAAATCGCGTGACGTCATTTATGGACGGCCCCTACTGACCTACTGAGTGCGACCTTATAACGTTTTCGTTCGGCAACCGGGAGCCAATGGCACGTCGGCGAGCACTGGACGGATTCGGTCGTAGTGGACTGCAACAAGGCGAAGGTGATTCTTGGGGATTGAGCCCTGGCTCGATACGCTGCATTTAAACGTCATCAGCTCAGACACAGAGCACAGGAACCCGGCCCCTGAACGACTCGACGATGTGAGGGACGTTTATTACCATATTGTCTATTTTGATTGATGTTATATTTACATTATGAGACCTCCTTTGCCAGTAGCAAAATATAGTAATAGGTTTTTACCCTTTTAACTGGCACCAAAACTGACACCTTTATACAAGGTTTTTGAGTTGTACGCCTTTTGGCGTCATCTGGTCCAACACCAGTGGAGACTAGGCTCTAAGAAAAGCCGTCTCGGGTGTGGACCAATCAATTTCAAGGACAGTGCATATCATTATCAAAGTTGTCTCTTTGTTTGCATTTTGACTGCTTGTGTTGTGGTTATTGCAAACATGATCCCTTGTATAAAGGTGTCAGTTTTGGTGCCAGATAAAAGGGTAAAAACCTATTACTACTTCAAATTATATTATTTTGCATTCTATTATTGTATTTATTGATGAAAATGGGTCTGTCCATCTGGGACGCACTTCAAGTTGCGTCCGAGCTTTACGTCATTAGTGTTAGACCCACACGACAATTTGGTGGCAGTGTGTCAATCGGCTATTAGCTGTAGAAGATGGTCGTGTTTCAATTGTGACGATTTGTCACCAGGATTTGAATTTCAAATGGATTATTTGTCTCGTTTGCTGTCTCATTAACTCGTCCATTAGGGGCTGTCCATAAATGACGTCACGCACCTAGGGGGGGGGGGGTCAGACATTTGTGACGATGTGTGACGATGGGGGAGGGTGGTTTGAGAAACGTGACGTCACATCAAAATGCGCAAACTTTAAATAAATATACACAAGACATTCTACTTAATTAAATAGACTTTTAAATAATTGTTTTCGCCTACAACATCAGAGTGCAGCGCCACATTAAATACGCAATACAATGACAATAGTTTAAAGCGATTTGAAGCATATTTTATTATTTTGGGGGTGCAGAGCTTTGTGACGTCATATTTTAGGGGGGGGGTCTGACTTTTTGTGACGCCGTGTGACGAAGGGGGGGGGGGTCAAAAATCGTCCAAAATCGCGTGACGTAATTTATGGACGGTCCTTTTAACCTAAACAGAGTGTAGCTATGGTGACTGATACAGAGAAGGTGTTATTTAAATGAGTTGATCGCTATTATTTGGCTGGCACGGGTGGCTGATTGGGAAAGCGTGTGTATCTGTGGGGGGTTGATTGGCTGATTAGATTGATTGGCTAATTATACAAGGGAGTCATGGGTTTATAATAAAGGAGTGAGTGTAAGATAATTGGAGGGGTTATTAATAGGGAGGAGTGTAGATCAGAGGGGGGTGCTCTATCAGGATGTGAAGGGGGGTGGTTATGAGTTGGAGTTTAGAGGGTGAGCAGCGTGTTTAAGTAGTACTGAGTTAAATTGAAGATTAAAAAAATAGAGCTTCCTTGATGAATCTTTGTTTTCAAAGGATATCTGGTCCAGGGTTCACACATACTCTCGCTTCGGCAGTCGTCGGCCGGTTGTCTTTTATTGATTCGTGAGTGGTGGTTAACAATAATAAAGAATTTTCACGAAGTGGGGAAGTTGTATTTCTGTGGTTATTACATAGCCATGAAAGTAAAGGTGCGGCCCTGCAATTTCTTTCGCACGCCACTTGCTGATGAAAAACCTCCAAGTCATAGAGCTATCGAAAGTTTTGCGCTCGGGCAGATTTGCTCGACTTATCCACCACGCTCGCCAGACGCATCGAAAGAGCTGGTTGTACCCACACTTTTTAGCTCTCCACACACGACCTGTCGATGGACTAACTGGCGTGGCCACATATCCTGCCTGGTGGAAAGAGGCGAGGAGAATCGTGAGACTGCGTCATTGTTTAATATGCCGTACATAATCGAATTTCACGCTGACGGTTCAGTGACCGCCAGTATTTTAATCTGGATTAAGGAATCGCTCCAAGCTTCGACTGCTTTATAGAAAGAAGAAAGAAAAAAACATGTTTTTGTTATGTAATTTGCGAGAGTCTGTGACTCGGGAATAATGAATTCCGACCTCGGTACACCACACCCAGTACGCCTCGCTCTGGGCTGTCACGTGCCACCTACTGCAGTCCACGCGCGAACGAGCAAATATTCGGTGAGTGTTGGCGCAGCGGTAAGTACACTGCAATATTAACCTGGTGACCAGAGTTCGAATCCTGCTCATCAGTGGGATGTGATGAGTGGGCCGGTCTGCACCCCCCCCGCCACTCCCCATGCCACCCCACACACCAACGAGCGTGGTGAAGTATGGTCAAACAACCCTCTGAAACGAGATAGCATGGGGAGGCCTAGATGATTCAATCATGGATTGACAGCTACAGATTAAAACAGTTTTAAAGCCATATTCAAAACCTTGTGGTGTAGTCTGTATATTTAAATGTCGTGACTCGACTTCGGTTGGGAAAATAACAAGGCTACATATTCTAAACGTGTGCATACAACCTCTCTACAATGGCACGTTCCCTTCTTAAATTTTGAATACAACGGGTGCTGTACAAAGAAACAACCTTGTTTATTGATGCATGTTGTACACGTACAACATAAACAAAAATACTTGGAATCAATTGTAATTCAATTGCTGAATGAAGGCCCCTTTCCACGCTGTGCAGGTCATGGGGTTTGTTTGAATATACCTCACCACGCTGGTCCGTGTGGGTTTTACTCACGCGGGGACTGAACAATATTCAGAATAAACTCCCAGCATGTGTTCTAGATTTGAAGCTTTCGTGACTGCAAGTATTCATACTTTTAGGTTTTTTCGGTAAAGTCACGTAGGTAATTAAAAAAAAAATTAAAATTTACTTTACAGCAAGCGTGCTGTGACGGTTCCACCGGAAGACGGAAGCTTGTGTTGCCTCCGAAACGTCGTGATTTTTATGTTACTTTTATAAAAAAAAATGTACCTACGTGACTTTAGCGAAAAAACCTAAGAGTATGAATCCCAGCATGTGGTTCGGAACGTCAGACGTCATGTCGAACAAGCGGCAGTACAACCCGAAAATACATTTTAAATCGAGACATTGGAGAGCCCATGACAACCACCGAAACCCTAAGCAGCAGAGCTTGAATTGATTTAAAATCCAACATTTATATGGATTATTTAAAAATGACGAAATGTGGAGCGACGATTTTGAGATGCATATTTGCGTAAGTGTATACCAACCCACAATGTGCTGTTGTTGAGCATTGTGTGAATCATGGTTATATAGAATGGGTTGTCTAGGCTACTCAATATTCATTAATTTGCCTTAATTGGAACATCAGAAGGAACATAATAACCTTTTCTCCTGACCCCCGATGTTTACTACCATTGCCACCTTTGAGCTGATTTGGTCATTAGAGATGCTGTATATATAAATTAATTATCAACTATCCTATAACATGCAATGCACAATGTCTTTACCTTCCCTTGCTGCTTCCTCTCCTCCCCCCTCTAGCCACTCTACCCTCTGCCGCAACCTCCCGCATCTCTTCCCTCCTTCCTCCAAACGCTGACTTTTCCTCCCTTCACCCTGATGTACATGCCTCTCCTTCCCTCCCCATGGCACTATCCTCTTCAACTACCTAGTCTCCCTACGCCTCTTCTCCCCTCCCCATCACCTAAGCCTCTCTCCGCCCCAAC